ACTTCACTCCCAATAAAAATGCTTAAACAAATAGATAAAATCCAAAGGGATTTCATTTGGGGATCTACCAACTCTTCTAAGAAATTACACTTGGTGAACTGGCAAATGTGCACGAAAAATAAAGTTGAAGGTGGTCTTGGCATACGCACAGCTACTTCCAAAAATATCGTCCTATTAACAAGCCTCACTTGAAAACTCTTGCAAAATTCTACTACCCCGTGGGCACAACTTATTTCTCACAAATATGTCAGAAAAAGGTCTATTATCAACACGTCTTTCATTTGGAAGGCTATTCTAAAAGGTTAAAAAATTTGTAATGAAAGCACTTTATGGTATCCCTACATTGATTCCAAAATTAATATTTGGACCTCCAAATAGATATACAATTCCAACACCCTTAGAAACTCCATATATGGTCCTTTTAGTAAGGATGACCAATACTTTTTCATAAAAAATATTATTAAGCAAGGCAAATGAGATGTCTTTAATATTTCTTTTGAATTGCCTTCTAATATTATAAACAATATTGCCTCAACGCCTATACTTAATAAGGTCTTAAAAAGGGACATCATGAGTTGGAACCCTAATACAAATGGATTATTTACTACCAAGTCCTGTTACAACCTCTTAAATCCCAATAACACTTCGATTTTTATCTTTAACTGGATTTGGGACCTCCACTGTCCCAACAAAATCAAAATTTTTCTTTGGCAATGTATGCATAATCGTATATCATGCCGAGCCTTACTAGCCCATATTGGCATTAATATTTATGTCATCTGCACGGTTTGTAGAGAAAATATGGAAGACATACAACATATTTTTATACACTGCCCAGTTACTAGGCGATTTTGGAACAGTATGGGTATTCCAACCCAACCTATCGAGAATAACCCTCACCGACTGATCAACCCAAAAGATTTATTCATTCAGAACCATTCTACAAACTGGAAGACCACTTTTGCTTTCTTTGTGGAATATTTGGAAAAATAGGAACAACAACAACTTTAACAACCTAGACCTTGATCTTCATGCCGCTAAAGTTATTCAACAAGCTTGGGAATTTAACTTCTTCATGGAAAAAAAATTCTTTCAAGGTAAAGAAGATCATGATTGAGATCAAGTGGGAAAAACCTCCGGCGAGAACTGTTAAGTTAAACATTGATGGAGCCTTTTCAAAAACCACTTTAGAAGCTGGATTAGGTGGAGTATTTAGAAATATCAATGGAAATTGGATCGTCGGTTTCCATAAATCAGGCCATGCAGCATCAGCCATGCAAGCTGAGTTAATGGCTCAGCATGAGGGTTTAAAGATTGCAAAGTAAATGAAGTTCCTCAAAATAGAGATAGAAACAGACTCAATGGAGATCATCAATCTCCTTTATGAAAACAACCAAATCCTTTCTAACATTATATTTGAATGCAGGTTGTTAATGCACCAGTTGAAGCTCCCAACTTTTAGACATAACTTCAGAGAAGGAAATATAGTCGCGCACCTCCTGGTGAAGGAAGCAGTAAAAATCTTTATCCCTACTAAATATTTTTACCATGCTCCTCCACCCCTTTTTGTTGATCCTCAATTAGCCAAGGACAAGCACGGAGTTAGTAATAGTACTAAGTATCTTCTTTCTAGTGTTTGTAATAGCCTTGCCAAGTTAGGTAATGGTAACGTTCTCGGGGACTATGTAATCTTTTGTTTAGTAATATTATCTCTGTGTTTTCCTTAAAAAAACATTAAAAACAGAAGTGGGATTACTCTCATAATTTATTATTTGATAGGTGATGATAGTGGATGAGCCATGAATTTTAACATTGAGATTCAAAAAAATGTTAAAGAGTGCCTGAAAGTTGAATATACAAATCAAAGAACGGAGTGCTTTACCCTCAAATGTCAAATTTTCGGTGCGAATTCAAATTTTGTCAAGACTCCATAGATATTGGACACTAACTAGAAAATAAGAAAAATAAAAATAAAAAAACGTAATTCGTGAACCATATTTATTACTACACTAGAGGTTTCCTCGTGTCAAAGAGATGGAACAAACTATTGATGAGTTTGTAATACTCTTTTTTTTAATAGTTGTTCAAGTATCCGATGAGCTTTTGTAATAGTAACCGTGTTGTAATAGAAACTCACTTGTTTAATTCTTTGAAATTTTTGAGTTGTTTATGATTAAGAAATGACAAAATATTAATAATAATATAAAGACATGTACTTCATATTCAAGGTGCGGCAAGAATACACATAACAAATAGGTAACGAATAAATAGTGAGTACCATTAATAACTCAATCTTAAACATGCAAATTCTTCAATAAAAAGGATCAGTAGTGACCCGGAAGTTGGTTGGATGAGTGATTTTTCACATGAGAGATTTGTGATCGATTCTTCTCACCATCAACCTCCTCAATCAGAGCTCGCGGTTTACTTTTTCTATGTGATTTGCGAGCTATTACATAGTGAGCGGGTTATTAATGTATTGACTGTGGGTTCCCTAAAAAAAATCAAAAAAAAAAAGGATCTGTAGTGACTATCATTACTGAAATTACAACATAGGACAATAAGTTGGTGATAAGCCTATAAAAATATTGGAGCAAACGAAAGAACTTAAACTATAGAATAGCAACAATTACACTTTAGTATTGAAAGTTCTAAGCAACAGATTGCGATAGAGAAGTATATAGTGCAAAATGTTGCCCAAATATTGGCCCAACGCCCCAACCCTTGGCTACACTACTACGGGTGTGTTTGGTATAACGGAAAATATTTTTCGTGGAAAATATTTTTCAAGAAATGTGTTACACCCCATATTTTCGTACATGAAAGTACACCACGAGTAAATTGATATAAGCTCGGGAATAAGATTATTTTTGAGGTTATAAGTATTATGTTATTTCAAACAAGTGATAAGTAAATTCGTGAAGGTACGAGGATAAGCAAATCAACAAAAATGAATTTCGTCAAAGTTGACATTTTGAGGTAAAATACGGTCCAAGCTATAATACCCCGTATTTATAGACTAGTGTCATACAAGGTACCACATGACCATAATAGCAAGGTGTATAAAGTATGTTAAAAGTAAATAGTATTTTTATGTAATTTGAGAGAATTCTTAATTATATAAATAATTGGATAATTATCGGTCAGTGGGAGATTTATAAAATAAATTAATAAATAATTATGATTGGAATAAGGCCTAAAAGGCCCAAAAATGTGGCAGCCCCTAAATCTTATGACTCTTAAGTCATTGTAATATAGGTGGCAAGATTAAAATCATTAAGGATTATGTGGTGGCTGCACAATCCATGTATAAAACATATCTCTAAACTTAAGAGACATGGATGGATAAGCAACTTAAATCACAAACACATTCTCATATACATCTGATGAGGATTCAAACGTAAATATTGTGTGTTACAAACGAAAGTCATGTAAGCAACGCCCAACACCTTCAACAATTCAAATTAACGTGAGATTTTGCAATTTTAAGGGAGTACGGTATAATCTTTCTCAAGAGAATCGACTCAGGATGTTAAGGCTAACCCTTATTTCTTTTGGCATGATCCATACGACACAAACGAAACGAGCAAATGCACAATTTCCATACATGACTCTATTCATAGAAATATTAGAGATGCTTGTGTTCTTGATTTCCCACGTGTCATATTATTTTATCATCTGTTCATGGGTCTCAAAAATACGTAAGTTGGAAAGTTTATTTCATGATATTAATCAGAGGCATAATGGTCTTATGACGTACCGAGAGATTTTATTAACGTATTTCATATGCATTTCATGCATTTATACATGCACATTGACCCATGACCAGATGGC